ATTTGTTATAAATTAGTTTTATTATCTGCTTTAAATTAATTTCAATGAAATTCAAATCTAAGGTTTAGGATATTATCAATGATTTTCATTGATATTATGATAAACTCAATGATAACAAAAAAAGTGAATATAAATGTGTTATATATTAAAGTACAGCAAAACGACTGGAAGTTTCATTGAGTGGAGCTTTGTATTGATAATTCATAGCATATTTAATGGAGAATTCTCTGTAAAAGTGTCTCTTCTCTAATTAGTTCATTGCCAACCATTTTATCAAAATTCGTGGCCTTTCTCTCATTGAACTAATGAATCGAGAAATATATCACATATTTTGATCATCTCTTGAGGCGAAGAAATTATAATAAAATTCTATTTATTTTTGACATTCAATTAATCTATTGATTAGTTTTACGATTATTTTCCTTAATTGAATTGAAAATTACTTTTGTCTGAAAAGATCGCGAGAAAAGCGCCGCATATCTGATATGGTTCTCGAGGGCAGGGTTTTAGAGCTGACTCGAGAGAACTCTATCCTCAGAGCGGAACTCTATGCCATCAAAGATAAGTTCTGTTTACCACAAACACAGGTAAGCACTCATACCATACCATACCATACCATACCATACCATACACTTCCTCTAATGAGATATTATAATCATTCAAAACACTTACTAATACACCATATTTGAGAAACAAAAAATAAGTTGAATATTAATTGTAAATAATTTGGTGTGAATATCATTGAAGTAAATTAGATGCAAAACAATTATTATTGTATTAAAGAGTTTTTATTTCCCGTATTTCTACATTTGTTTATGTATTTGACTTTTAATAATAATTTAGAGTTCTTTCCCTTCACTTCACTTCTTATAGTAAAGTCCTTCAAATTGAAGAAAAAGTTAGATATTTATAAAAATAATTCTTTTAATTAATAGTTTTTTAAATAAATGATTACTTTATTTTAAAAGACAATTTTCTTTATGATAAAATATTAAAATAAACAATTGAATTCATAGATAACTTATTCATAGAATGATATTTTACTTTATTATTCAATTAATACATAAATGTATTTTATCCGAGAATTGGAAAGCATTTTTTTTGTATGTAGGTTAAAGTCATTACTAAAATAAAAGTCTAGTTTTACATTAAACTTGAATTCTATAAAATTAATTATACAGTACTATCGATTTGAGATCAAAATACTCTTAATTTTGAATAATCTTGAGATGAAAATGTTGTTAAGATCTCGGAATCATTTCAATGCCATTATGTGAAAACTCTTCAATGAAAAGCACCTTTTATTATCACTTCTATAATTGATTACCAGATCCTATTATGTATTTTCAATGTGATTTAATTTCATGGTTTTATATTATGAGACCTAACTCTTTATAAGAATTATTTATCGCTTATTAATAATACAAAACATAATTAACTATAAAATTTGTGACTAATGTTTTACAATAATATTTATTTTAATACAGTTTTCGTTAGTTTTAAAGGGTTTCTTATCACATAATGTTATTGGTTATAATTTCAAAATTGAAAATATTTAAGATTGCAATTTCTAAAATCATAAATTATGAAATATACGATAATTATAATAACTATTATTTAAAATTTCATGAGAATTCTGAATGAAAGCCAAGATTTTCTAATAATTTAAAAACATTTGAATGTAAAAATAAAATGAATTAATTTTTATATAACACTTATAAATAAGAAAACTGTCGTTGAATTATTTCATGACATTTACTCAATTGGCAAATGAGTTCTGGAAGTACAGTATATTAATGATATTATAATTTATATAAA